ACAACGCTTTCAAAATAGATAGAATGTCACCCCGAATTGACAAGGGTAAGGCTAAGGAGACCCAACCCCATTCGAGAGCTAAGGTACGCGAGGTATCTCCCTCGTCCATGCATGCTTCTCACCCACAGGCTCAGGAAGATCAAATGTCTTTAGACACTCCACAACCTTTTACGACATTACTTTCCTCCCCTCGTACGGTTCCATCTGGGAATCCATCTTTTATTAGTCCATGCAGTAGCTTGGGGATCTAGTTTTCCTCAGGTATCGTCTTCCTTCACGCAGTAGCTTGGGGATCTAGTTTTCCTAAGGGATATAGTTTTCCTTAACAATATTCCTTCATACAAAAGCCTGGGGGATCTAGTTTTCCTCAGCGGACTTCCTTCGTGCAACCTGGGGAATCTGGTTTTCCTCAGCAATATTCCTTCACGCAGTAGCTTGGGGGATCTAGTTTTCCTCAGCAGACTTCCTTCGTGCACCAGTATGGGGGATCTGGTTCCCATATTCCACACCCACACATATACCTGCGCGCCAGGAGCAGGATGATCCTATTCAGGAGGATGATGAAGTTCATGAGGAGCAGGCAAATCCTGTTGCAGGGAAGATTTTGGTGGTTGAAGGACAACCTCTTATTAGGCCCAAGGGATCGGGGTAAGTTTTTAATTTATAATATTCATTTAACTATATATTGCCATTTTATATTTAATACTTAATAAAATTATTGTTGTTGTTTAGTTTTGATTTGTGTCGGCCTGCTGCAAAAGTTGTAAACTGGGTCATTCAACTGATGTATACAAAACTCATTAAGTCTTTTAGAGATCTCCTAGATATTGAGAAAGATATATGGTTTGTAAAAATTTAAGGTAAATTATATTTTTATTAAATTTATGTTATTTTATAATTATTTTTCGTTATATAAATATCTAACATTTTATTTGAATGTCATACAACTTGCAGGAAAGGTGTACGTGGCAAAAATTTGATGAGGTCAAGATTAACTTTTTTTTATAGAAGTAAGGTATCTAACCGACTATCTGACATGCTTAGGAATGCTAGACAACATTGGGAAATAGATCCAACTCATCCTAACTGGATAAGCGAGGAAATATTTGTGGAACTTATTTAGTGGTGGAAGACAGAAGATTTTCAGAGAAGATCTGAACATGCAAAAAAGATTAGGGCATCTGAAGCAGGTGGTTGCCTTAGTACAGTTGGAAGTATCAGTATCGGTGAACATCGTCGACGAATGGTAATTATAACTATTCTTTTAAGTTTTATTTTCTATTATTATATACATATTTAATTAAACTTAATTATTTTAATTAGAAAATGGATTTAGGGGAGGGATTCACAGATTAATGAGCTATTTGTGAAGACCCGAACCAAAAAATCAGGGGAGTTTAGTGACGGCCTTTCCAAATCAACCTTGGTAACTTGTTTATATTTCATTATTTTATTTCATTATTGTATATAACTAATAAATTGTTTAAACTATATTTAATTTAATTTTTTTTATGTGTGTGTGTAAGAGTTGTATCAGACCTTGCTTGTCCAATATCTAGCTGAAAATCCTCAGTATATTCCGATTGGGAATGCACTGCTTGATCCACGTGTGAATCTTTATATTTGGAGTTTAACAGTAGGCGGGAAGGGAGTCAATGGGTGATTTTTTGGTCTTGGATCTTTAGTTGGCGAGTACAAAAAAGGGGACTGAACTTTATTTCAAAGACTCGAAAATGGGGAAGGAGGATTTTGTCTGACTGAATTAACACTAGAAATATTGGTAACAGTGAGATAGTTAGTTCTATCTGAGGCAAGACGAGAGGTGGAGGCACGTGAGGCGACGCTAAAGGCCGAAATAGAGGAAATGAGGAATCAACAAAATGTTGAAATGGAAGAAATGAGGAAGAGGCAATCCGACATGGAGACACAAATGCGACAATTTTTTGTCTCACATTCAAATTATTATGTCCAAGATGATGAAGAAGATGAAGATGTTATATTTAGTAGTGACGATGAATAACTTTTTTTTTTAATTATTATTTATGTTTGTGACGTGAATATCACGTGACACTTTTTTTTGTTATTTTTTATGTTTGTGACGTGAACATCATGTGGCTAAATATTTTATATCTTTTATTAATTATATTTATTAAAATTTTTGAATTTTTTAATCGAAAATAATTTTAATTTTTACATTATAGTATTTATTAGTTTGTTTTATTCATTAATAGTTATTAATTTTTGTATTATTAAATACATCAGTGAAGTGAAATTCACGTCGCTAAATTTAAAACAGGTTTGAGTTTTGTGACGTAAAAACCATGTCATTAATCAGTGACGTGAAAATATGTGTTTGGTTCATTTTTTATAAGGGGAGGGAGGGGAGCAAATTCCCTCTGGACTCACTTTTTGCTCCCTTAAATTGGGGATTTGGAGGGGAGGGGAGATTCATTATTTAAAATTTTATTATATTCCCTAATTTATCCTTAATTATTTATTTTAATTTCAAAATTGTCCTAATTGAACTATTAAAAACTAAGTTTATGTTTTTCTCTGTATTGTTTCATGTTTCTTTTTTTCTTCTATTTTGCTGCTACTAGATGTGCATTGTTGCTCTCAGGTGAGTTTTTCCTTTTTATTTTGTTGAATTCTTCTATTTTGATTTTATGTTATTTAAACGTGTAACATATAACTATAATCAGTTATTGACTGGTTGCTGTTAACTAAAAATTATGATTGCTCGGTTGCCGTTAACTAAAAGTTGTGATTGTTTTGATTATAGTTATACCTTATCAGACAAATTTCTTATTCCATAAACATTGAATATGTCACGATGCTTTGAGAGTAATTATAAAATAAATTTCATATTCAACTTTCATATTCAAATAAAATTTATTTGATAAGTTCTAAAGTAAATTTACAAAACTTTAAATTCAATATGGCTGTTTTTTTTGTCTGCACATAATGATGAGTTTATATGAATCACATTACAAATTGGACCTCTAATTTACCTTGGTTCAATCATGTATTATAAAGCTTGATTTGATCATAATTGAACTTTTAATGTCGTAAGATAAATAACATTCTCTAGTACTTCTGGAAATGTTGTGAAATTGCAATGAACAGTGAGTTAAAACATTGAGAACTCACTATGAAGAAATTTTTATTTGGTGATATTTACTCAAAACTATTTTTTCTTTTGAATTGTTTTTACTAAATACGAATGATAATATTTGTAAGGATAAAAAAGTAATTTAGTTTTAAAATTTCTCCCCTCCCCTCGTAAACCAAACATATATGTAGTTAAAAATTCCTCTCCTCCCCTCCATTCCCCTTCTTTGAACCAAACATATATTTAGTTAAAATACCTCCCTTCCCCTCGCCCTCCCTCCCCTCCCCCTTTCTCCGTTGAACCAAACGGATCCTTAAGTCATATGATATTATTAATTCAACTGACATATCATTCAAAATGACACTTAAATGTGATGGAGGACTAAAACCAAAAAAAAAATACTTTAAAAAGAAATTAAAATTTCGGATTTTAAAATAGGAGGATCCAAACTAAAAAAAATTAAAATAGAGAAACCAAATTACAATTAAAACTTTTTTTTTTATAATTGTGACATTTACTTTGGGACGGAGGTAAAGATTATGAATATTTGTAATAAAAAAAATACTAAGCCAAGTCAAAATCATGATAACCAACCAAATTTTATAGTATTTTATAATAAAAGTTCCAATGAATAAGTAAAAAAAGGACTGACACAAGAAAAAAACACACAAAATTGCAAAAGGCAATCAAGAATAACGCGCACATACACAAAATCGCCACTATCTAGGGCTGGCAATGAACCAAACCAACTCGAAGATAGTTCGGAATTCGACTCGACAATTAAATCGTTGAACTAGGTTCATGAACCAAATGAGTTGAGTATGAGCGAAAAATTAAGTTCGTTAACTAAATGAGCTGAACTTGAACTATACATAGTTCGACTCGTTAGGTTCATGAGTTAACTCGATTACATATGAAAAGAATTATACTGTCTTTAAGATTAGGTTTAAATATTTACTTCAAATCTTAGACAAATTTAATCTTCAATTTAGTAGTTTTTGAATTAGACTCTCAAATGTATCTCTTGAAAGTTGTGTAGGTTTTGAATTAGTAGATTTCGAAGTTAAAGTTAAATTTCAATATGATAAATTTTATTTTATTTTAATATTTTATTTAAAATATATATATTTATTTAAAATGTCAAATATACTAAAAAATATATATATTTAAAAAAATAGTTTTTAAGTTCGTGAACCATGTGAGCTGAACCTAATGAGATGAACCTAACGAGTCGAACCGAACTGTTCGTGAACTTATAACGAGTCGAGTTTGAGCTTAAAAAAAAGTTCGTGTCTAACTCGAACTCGAACTCGAATTCGAACAATTCTTAACGAGTCGAACCGAGCTGAGGTGAGTTCGACTCGACTCGACTCATTTCCAGCCTTACCACTATCTAACTATGAATAACCAAAATGACACATTCAATATCATATCGAGACAATTAAAACATTATGTCAAACAATTTCAAAATTGCCAAAATAGAGAAACTCACTAATAATGGCGCGATGAAGCGTGAAACCATCTTTTCTTTTTAAAAAAAATCTTTAAATTGTAAAACGTGTTTAGTTATTAAATTTCCAATTTTTTAGAGAGACATTTTTTGGTACCAAAGAGCATGGAAAATGAAAGCTAAATATGGTTTTGTATTGATTCAATGGCAAATTCATAATGGAGCTTTATTCCTTAGACAAATAACAGATCAATTAAACGAAAGAATGCATTATTTTACATTGAATACCAAGCAAACAAACTTTTGATCTAATTCATGTTACATTCTATAATCTTACACTGAGTTTTTTTTTTCATATAATCACACACATATTTCTTCTTCTACGAGCAACATATCTGAAAAGTTTTGAAATAAAATCTAAGATTAATGAAAGGAACATTAAGCTAGATGACGATTTTTCCGGCCTCTACTTGTATGCGGAGATCTCATTTCGCGGAGTCTCCTCTCTTGTGAAAGTATTTTTGCAAGCCTGAAAAATTACAATCAAATGTGTTATGAACTTATGATTAGTATTATATTAATCCTAGCATAATTATAATTTGAGTAATAACTAAAATGCACTATTAGTACTACTAACTAATCTTAATTACCTTTTGAGAGCATCTTCATTAGTTTCTCCACTTTTCAATGGCTCAAAGTGGCCATTTTCTAAATTAACCCTAGAAACTGGTTTCTTCAATAAGCTCTCACCAATTTGGCAAAGTTTCTTCAAGTTTTCCTCCGTAGCAATGTCGACGGAAGAATCTATTCCAGTCAATGTATCATCCTGCATTTTGTGTAACAAATTCAACATCTATCCTTTAGAATGAATCAATATTGAAAACCCTAAATTCTAAATTACCGAATTCGCATGTATAATTTCTTTTACCTGAATTCGAAGATAATTATCTTCCGAATGAAGAGCTTGAGTAACAGCAGATAAATGAAAATCAACCATGTCACCACTTGATTGAGTAAAAACATCAATCAAAGGATTAGAACCACTGTGTGTTAACCAATCCAATAATCCCCATTTTGCAGCCATTTGTGCACTAAACTTTTCCTCATTTTTTGCTGTTCCAGTCCCTATTGAAATTATCAGAAACCTACCATATTCCAAAGGCTTGATTGGGAAAAAATCAGGACTTTGATTGATGATTTGCTTTGTTACTTCATTCATAGCAACTAAAGCCTAAATCATAAAAAAAAAAATAGCAAATTAGTTTTATCTTCAATAAAATGTTACCAACTAATTAGAACTTATCATCGAATTTGAACGTACCGGATTATTTGCGCATACACCGCCGTCAATAAGATTGAACTCTTCTTCTTTTCCAGCTTCTTCATCTTTATTTATGAAGTTATGAGCAGGAAGATAAGTAGGTGCAGCAGATGTACTAATGCATATATCCGAGAGTTTCGCATTCAAACAAGGAGTTTTCTTAATCTGCATAAATTTCAAACTAATAATTTAGTCTAAGTTTTACCATAAATGAAAAACATACGCAAAATGAATTTATAAATAACCTGATAAGATGAGAAAATAATTGGCTGCAAAGTCTTGATATCAAATGCAGGAATAACAACGTTGGTGATGGTTTCATTCAACTTAATGTCACCAAGTTTTTGTCTTACAACGTCATGAAGATATTTTCCATCATATTTAGGTCCTCCAAGAGATCTCATTACCTTTGCTAACATCATCCCACCCATGCCTCTGCAAAAAAATTAATCCAACCAACAAAAACATAAATTTCTCAATTTCTTTTCGTAATATTAAACACCACTTAAACTCGGACACATAGAACTCCGAAGAGTTCTCCGGTCTGAAGGTGTTCAGTCTAGTAATATCGACATTATCTGACGACTAACACTAACCTATGTTGTGGGAATATTTTTGGGCAGTGTTCAAGGTAGAAGGGTTTGATATCTTTGGCAGCAAAAAGTGGACGGTTGTTTTGATCCGGAGCGGCTAACATGGCAGTAACAAGGCCACCTGTGCTTGTTCCTGATATTACATCAAAGTAGTCTGCAAGTCTTGCATCTTCACCATCCAATTCCTTCATAAGTATCAACTTAGTTAATAAATTTAAATATTATAATATATATTGTTGAAGATTATATATGAGAGTAAAAAATTACCTGAAGGTGAGATTCAAGAAATTCAATAATTGCAGCAGGGATGAGACCCCTAATGCCACCACCATCAATGCTAAGAATGGTTATTAAGTTTCCATAAGTAGGAGGTTGAATCTGTTCAACAGATAACTTTGTGACACCCTCCATTGTTAAAATGTTATGTAATTTCTCTTAAGTTTTTTTTGGATTAAAATTAATGGTAATGAAAATCAAAATGCTGAAAACAAAGGTGGTTTAGTTTAGAGTATGGTTTGAAAATGAAGAGTTTAATGTAGAAATATAAGTTTGTGATTGTGATATGATATGATATGATAGTTGATTATGATATTTATAGTGGAGAGGGAACGTCTCCGTTTTGACAGAGTCCGTAATAGACTTATGGCGTCGTCAAGGGAGGCTGCGAAATGATTTGAAAATGTCTTAGTGGGTAGTTCAATCAATTCCAATATCATTATGATATTAAAACTAGGACATTATTAAGATATGCATAGTTAATTAATATTATCCCTTGTTTGGTGATGGCTTAGAGTATATCCATGTGTGCATCATTGTGTTTAGTATGGGGCTCACGGGATTGATATAATTGGTTTTGAGGTAAAATGTTTTCTGATTCGAAGGAAAAATATATGATTTGAGTCAAAGTTTGATTTATCTCGGTTCGATTCAATAAAAATTAGTTTATTTTGAAATTCAATTTGAATTTGTTGTAAAAAATTCGTAGTTAAAATTTATTCCGATTAAAATTATATGTTAAGAGTTTCAAATCGAATAATATATGACATGACCATGTGTTTATAAGTGAAAATAATCCTCACTTTACCAATCGATTTTATAAGATTGAATTAGATCTAACTATACTTTCTTGACATGATATCAAAATCTGGTTTAAGATCCAATTAATTACATACTATAGTTTTTCTTGTTGGACCACCCAACCAAAAAACTAGGTGTTGTGACTTGCAGGATATGTAGCTAATTTGAGATATGTCTCAATCCAAAGCATGTTTCAATGTCTATGATGAACTCACTCAATAGCCATGATTATGCCCATAAGCTCTACATACAAGACATTATTATGTTGACCAAGGAAAAAGGCAAAACATCATAGTCTATCACCGGTTCTAAATAGGTTTGTGCATGTAAAGGGACTAGGGCAACAAAGTGCAACATCATCAATATATATTATAGTTTCTTCTTCTAAAGTACTTCATCCCTTTAGGCTTCATATTTGACGAACTATGTACATTACGATCTCTTTATGAGCTGCATACGAACTTGAGCATAGAGTAATTAGGTCGAGTATGAACACGAATATAGATTAATCACAACATAAATAGGCCAAAGCGAACACGTCGCTCTAAGACAAGCATATCCAGTTAATAGTTAGTGCCCTTTAATAGGGCAACATAACTTTAAGAACATATTAAAGGTCATAAATGGTCATCCCATACAAAGAATCAGAGGATTTAATGCTCATTCAGTATCTCTAAATAGATATAGAGATGGACACCATAATGAGAAATCAAGATTTAGGAAACCATGTGTTACAAGGACATTATGATTTTTTTGAAATACTTTATTTGAACACTCGTGACGCTATTTACTCATTATAAATTTTGAACATATGAATGTTAAATTTTAAATTTTTTAATAAAAATATTAATAAAATAATATGATACATCTAGAGCTGTCAAAATGGACTAGCTTATATGGGTCGGTCAGTCCGGTCTGAAATATCAAAAGATTTAGGCTTTAAGATTAGAGTTCATATTTTTCAGAACTTTTTTAACCAATCCTAAAAAACCCGCTACCCATTACGGCTAGCACATATGGGCCGTAGGTAGTCCATTAGGCCTGCATAGCTATAATTTTTTTTAAAAAAATATATTAATATTCATATTGACTTACTCCAAAATAACACATTGATTTTTCTCACCTCACTAAATGTTATCTCTATTATATTCAATCATTCTCTTTCGAATCTTATACATTAATATAATCAACAATCTTTTCTCATATTCTATTAGTTTCTCTTATATTAAATATTCAAATATTATTTTATACAATTTAGATATGCATTGTACTTAAAAATACATTATAGTATTTATAAAAGATAATATAGTACTTAAGAATGTTTTATGTTTAAAATAATATAATTTTAAATTTTATTTATGATAAATATTATGAAGTTTTTAGTTTAATTTTTTATTTAAAAAAAAAACGTTTAGAGCTGGGTAGGCTGAAGCCCATCTAGAGCCAGACTCGAGTAATAATTTTCGAGCCCGCATTACAACATGGTTTTTTGGGCTAGGACCGGCCCGTTTAGGTTTGAATAGCCCATTTTAACAGTTCTTACATCCATGTGAAACTTTGTGTCAATAGACTTTACAACCAATTGTTTTCTCATCTTAGTATGAAAAACATACACAAAATGAATTTATAAATAACCTAATAAGATGAGAAAATAATTGTTTGCAAAGTCTTGATATCACATAGACTTAGCACAATTTAGTTATGAGTTAATAAGGTTACCTATTTAATTAGTGATACCACATAGTCTCGTAAATTATGATACTAATTGTCTCATTTTATTTTGAGATGAATATTATGAATTTAATTTTCTTATTTAGTTTTGAGATGAATACTCTAAAGTTAATTGTCTAGTCAGTTTTGAGATGAATATGAGGAAAAATTGTGGATATTACAAAGTTAATGGGAGTAAATTTATATTACAAATATAATATGTTTATTTTATTGTATTAAGTGAACAATGTTATAAAATTATTATTATAAAGTTATTGTATGAAACTAAGAAATCTCTAATGAAAAGTTAGCGATGAAATATATTGGAGACACCTCTTCTATATTAAGTTATTTTGATATTTAGAAGTTATTCTGTGAATATCACAAAAGAGTTATATTAATAAGTTTGAAAGTAAATTTGACATGAAATAACATAAGTTTTAGGATATTTTAATTACTAAAAGAGATTATTAGTTCTCAGTTATATCTGCTTTAACTTAAATATGAAAATTTTAAAATTTGTGTATTTTCCTACGCTTTGATTGTGAAAATCTAATATATAATCTTATTTATATGTATATTGAAAAGGCGTACATAAAATTATTAAGCTGATACTTAAACAATTTAAAATTAAATTTGATCTGACCTGACCAGAAAGGAATCAGTGACCTGTCACGTGTCGTTGATCTGCTGTCTGTTCACCAGAAGTATAAAAAAAGAGGGGGGTGTACCGGCAAGACACTCTGATGTCAAAGTGAGAAAGTGGACCAGAGTGGAGCAAATACAGAAGAAGGTTGAGAATAGAATACCTGACCCTCTAGTGAAAGAGGGTATTTATAGTGGGACCTCAGCGCAGGGCCAACAGTCATTTGAGTTGGACTGGATGACCAGACTCTACCCAAGTGACTGCTAGGTCTTACGTGGCGTAGTGAAGACCAACATGTGGTATTCGTCCTAGTTCAACCGTCCCATGATCTTCGGAAGGTGGGTTGACTAGCTCTTTCGGAGGTGGGTAGTTGCATGATGACGTGTCCCCGCGGAGGGGAGCACATGGAGAACGTGTGGGGGACACGTTCTGCCCGACGAAGGAAGTGTCACGTGGAGAACGTGTGAAGGACATGTTGTTCTGCCCGACGGAGGAAGTGTTCTGCCCGACGGGGGCAGAGTCTGGTCGACGGGATCCCTGTGCTCGACATAGGTGATCTGGGCCTGTTTGGGCCTTCCCCTAAGTATCATTGGGCTGGAACTGCCCGGTCAAGCCGGGGCTCAGACCAGAACAAAATTGTTGAAAAAAATGCAATCATGAATTTTGTTATATAAAAAAAGAAAAAAAAACATGTGCTCACAAATCAGAGATTTGACAGTAAAAAGATCATAAGTATGTTTGACTCCGATATTTTATATGTTGAATCGCCATCATAATACACAAAAATAATGGTAATCTAATATATAATATTGAAAGACCACTCAAACTATATTATGATATAAGACAATCATGTTGTGTTTCAACAAAAATATATATATATATATTATAAAGTCCATTGATTTATAGGTTATCATTGTTGAAGATAGAACATGTACATAGAGACTTTATGCTACCAAACTCGCTAATGAAAGACTTGACACAAAAGTTCTTTTATATGATTGTATTTAGTTCTTAAATTAAATAGAGTACATCTGTTCTTTTATATAATAGACAATTCATTTTTTGTGTTTATTGAATAATCAATGTATTCGATCAATTTATAGACTAGATACATTGATTATTCAATGAATCTAAAAATTGAGTTGTCTCTTATAAAAGACGGAGGTAGTATAATATTGGTTTGATATCGATTTAGAATTTAAAATTTAGAATTTATGTTATCATTATCTGTAAAAATAAAGTTCTTAGGGTTATTATTATTATAACTATTGGTGTATCGTTTGTGTAAATATTGAATTTGCAAATTAATTTGATTTCATAATGGTTTCTATAGGACAAATTGAAAATATACATGAAATTTTTATTCACTCATCCATATCAATTTATGTCATCAAGAACATTAATGTGGTGGTCGTGAGAGTTTCATCATGTTATATGTTAGTAATGATAAACATAGTGGTCTCATTATTGATGTAATCCGGTGGACCATTGTAAAGTAAAATCTACATATAAATAACATTCGGATCCGCGCTTAAATAACTGTGATATAATTATTAAGATATATTGTTCAAATAAAATATTGTTGGAATACTTTATGTTTAAATATATTTAATTATTATATTTTAATAATATTATGTAAGATATATATTTTAATAATATTATGTAATAATAAAATTTTTGTTTAGAAATTAATTAATTGAGAATGAACTTAAATATAAATAAATGTTAAGATAAACTTTCAGAATAATAAAAATTCTAATTAATTATCACCTTCTGGATTGGAAAAGAAAACTAAGTAGGAAGGTTGAGAATGTTTCAAGTACAGTGGGTATTTGGAGCATTGTTTAAAGTACACCTAATATCCTTATTAAATCTAATTTTTTGCTTATTTAAACAAAACATCCTATATATTAGACTATATTCTCCAATATACTAATACAAAAGAGAATAATTTCTTCTCTCCATTTAAAAAGAATTT